GCTCACAGGTACAGGAGTTCACAAAACATATGTCTATCCAGCAAGGCTTAGAAACTTTTCCCTCACCAAAGACCAGATGACTATTTCAGACTGCATCAGCCCTAAAAATCAGCACTGCAGGATGAATGAAATGAAAGAAACAGCACATGAAATGAAAGAAACATGCTTGCATCCATATTGGAGCAATATGATGACAGATATTTTAGTCATGGGAATAAGGCCACCACCTCTGCAGCACAGCAGTCCAATCCCACATGTAGCCAGCCCCAGCGCAACCATGATTCCAGCCTCCCAAGAGGACAGGGCCTCACTCAACAGCAAAGAGGAAACACCCCCAGCAAAGCAAACATGAAGAAAACCCTCAAAACCACAGCTCACTCTCCTGAGCTCACTCCTTTGCCTTGTCCATAGGGCTCTGAGCCATATGTATAGCTGCTTTAGCACAAGTCCCAGGAGCAGCTTCTCTCCAGTGGCACAGGGAGCCTGGCAAGCTGGGCATGAACCCACTCAGCAAACCCCCAATAACTGCTCTGCCTGAGGCAACACCTCAGCTCAGCCACTGCAGCTGGGCTGGGGCCCTTCTGTCCCACACTTGGTCACAGCACTGACTGTCTCACAGACAACACCTTCAGGACATCAACTTCAAGCCTATCCATAGGGTACCTGAGCACTCCATAATAAACAACAAAAATAGCACCAATCTACACCTGTCCATCAATCACTCTAAGCATCCCAAAGGTGAAACAGCACACCTCAGCCACAGACCCTGGCTGAGAGCAGAAAGCACCACTGATCTCCTTGTGATAGGATCAAGATGTCAATCTGTTCTCTACACTCTCAGCTCTCCTTCCTCCCCATCTGATTTATTCTGTTGGTTACCTGACTGCACACGCTGAGCTTCTTGGCCTCAAAATGTTGACATCTAGCTTAGCCTCAAAAATTCTCATCTCTTCTGCACCTTCTCTACTCCGAAGAAATGCCTTTTCCCCCTAACTCTCATAAGCAAACTACTGTCTGGATCAACACAATTACTTGCTCCTCCTTTACAGTCCTGGAAGCAAAGGTGCAACTTTAGAGCCTGTGCTATTTCTCTGACATCACGACTAAGGCATAAAGGAGATTCTCTGGGCTGGATGCAAGTGACAATGACTTGGAAATAACCTAGAACTAGCTCTAAGTGAAACTGTCTTCACCCAGAACAACACCGTACAGAACAGACACAAGGCTACTCCTGACACTCTGGTAAGAAGTCCCAGAAATTCGCAGGCACACAGCAAACTCTTGTGCAAGTATGTGGAGAGCTGAGCAGAAATACAACCCCAGCTATCCACGTCTCCACGTACCGTCACTGTACAGTGCTAAGCAAGAGGAGGAATGGACACCTTCCTCTCAGTTGTCTATTCCAAGTCTTCTGGTAGCCTACAAAGAGGACAGACTTCACAGCCCCTGCTGCAGCGGCTGCACCCTCCAGCTACCACACCTGAGACATTTTGCTCTTAGGGTCCCCAAATGCATCAGCTGCAGCAGCAGCCTAAGCCAACCTAAAGAAGAGGGGCACAAAGAGATGCGGGAAGGAACAGCCCTGTGTCCATGCAGACACACACACAGCGCGCGGCTGCGGCACAGGCAGGCGAGGACAAGCCCCAGCTCTGCGAGTCCCCTTCCGGCGTCTCCATTCATTGCGAGAGGAGTCCGGCTCAGCTTCTCCCCCACAGAAAGCGGCCACTCACCCAGCCCTCGAAGCTGTCGCTAGAGCCGGCGGAGCGCAGGAGGTCCTGGAAGGGCAAGGTGCAGTTGGCCACGAAGTCGTCGTAGCCGATGGGGGTGTCGTGGAAGACGGAGAGCTCGATCTGATGGCCGTCGGACACCGTGGCCGAGAACTCCTCGTTGTAGGTGGGTTTGTTGGTCTTCTGCTTGGTGCTGGTCTGCCCCACGCGCACCTGGTCCACGCTGACGGTGACATAGGGATCCAGGAGTTGGTAGCCCTTGCGGAAGAGCGAGTGCCGGAGGGACCAGCGGGTGGGCTGCAGCCCCACCGCCTCCCCGATGCGCACCTTCAGGTCGCCGTTGAACTTCATGGCTCCGGACATGCCCACCCCGCCAGGAGCCCGGAGCACAGCCACAGCGCTCTCCCGCCGGGACACGCACCCAGCCTCTCCTGCCGGGCCGGCAGCAGCCCCGCCGCACCTCCTCAAGGGGCCGAGCGGCGACACCGCGCCCGCCCCCGGGCCATGCCGGAGCTGCGGAACCGCCGCGCACCACCCGCCTCCCGCAGCCGCTCCGCCGCCCGGCCCGGCCTCCTCCTGCCCAGGGGGAGCGGCTCGCTTGGGTTGGGTTGTGTTAGGCTGGGCTGGGCTGGGCTGGGCTGAGCTCGGCTGGGCTGTGCTCGGCTCGGGCACACCGGGGCGTGGGGCGGTGCCGGGCGGGGAGGAGCCGCGGGGGCGGCCCCGGGCTGGGGACGGGCGGGCGCCCTGCTCGGCTCGCTGCCGTCCCGCCCCGCTTTAGCCCAGGCCCGGCCGGCAGGAGCCAGGAGCTGCTGCGGGGAGGAGCCGCTGCCCAGCCCCGAGAAGCGCGGCGGGGACACAGAGCCGCTGACAAGGCCGGGACAAACCTCCGCGCCGCCCGCCGGGCTCCAAAGCCGCCGCTCCGCATCTCCCGGCGAGGGCTGAGCCTGCCCCTGCTCCGACCTGCGGCATCTCGGCGCCTGCACGCCCAGAGCCGTGACCCAGGGCAGCGCTGCCCCAGCCGCCCGCAGGGAGGAGCGCATCGGCATGGGCTGGCTCGGCCTCTGAAAACTTTCTTGGAACGACTCTGCCGGTTGGGCATTAATCGCAGCTGATTAAGGAGTTTGGCACTCGGCGTGCAGGCTTTGTTTTGGGGAGCGTTTCTTGGGGGCTTTGATGGCATCTAATAAAGTTGGAATGAAAAAAGTTGGAATTGCTTTGCAAAGTTCACAGCAAAATGGGATGAACTGGGTAGGAACAAGGAAGTCCTGCTTTCCCTGTGGCACTGTTTAGCTGACATCATCCCAGTGAGGTTGCACTGCCTAAGATGCGGTCTTTTGAATGTCCCCACTGCAGCTGGACGTTGCCGAGGCTGGCTGAGAGCTTGCAGCCTTTTCTGGGTGTGTGTTTCTTTTCTTCTTTGAGAGCTCCAAGTTTTGCAGGAACACCAAGCCAAGGCTCCTTCCAGCCTCAGACAGAGCAGGGGGCTTCCCACTGGCTTCTCTGGAGAGAGCGGGTGGAACAGCTTCAGCAATGTTATCATTCCTCATAGGGAAGCAACCCTTCTGCCAGAAAAACGTGTAGTGTCTTTTAGCAGACTTCTGAGAGGGCTCCTTCCAAGGCTTTTAAGTTCCTTGATCTGTCCCTATTAGCCCGAGAAAAGAAGTGTGGAAGATTTTTTGGAGCTCAGATAGGACAGCTCAGCTTGGGGAGGAACACAGACTTCACCTTAGAAATTGCCAAAACATACAAAATCCAGCCACACGTTCCGGGATCTTGTGTCCAGCAGTGACCAGCTCCAGACCTTTTAACAGTAGGTATGACCAAGTAAATACAGAGTACTTCTTTCTCGTCAAAGACTCAAAGATTTAGTTCTTTGGGGGCTTTTGGATGAGGGAGAGTATAGAATCATAGAACCATAGAATAGATTGGGTTGGAAAAGACCTCCAAGATCATCAAGTCCAACCCCTGATCCAACTCCAATTACTATATCATGGCACTAAGGGCCACGTCCAATCTCTTTTTAAAAACCTCCAGGGATGGTGAATCTACCACCTCTCTGGGTAGGCCGTTCCAATGCCTGATAACCCTCTCTGTAAAGAATTTCTTCCTAACTTCTAACCTAAACCTCCCCTGGCAGAGCTTGAGCCCATGTCCCCTTGTCCTATTGTTGGTTGCCTGGGAGAAGAGACCAACCCCCACCTGGCTATAACCTCCCTTCAGGTAGTTGAAGAGAGTGATGAGGTCGCCTCTAAGCCTTCTCTTCTCCAGACTAAACAACCCCAGCTCCCTCAGCCTGTCCTCATAGGACTTATGCTCAAGTCCCTTCACCAGCCTCGTTGCTCTTCTCTGGACCCGCTCCAGCACCTCAATATCCTTCCTGAACTGAGGGGCCCAGAACTGAACACAATACTCAAGGTGTGGCCTCACCAATGCAGAGTACAGGGGAAGGATCACTTCCCTGCTCCTGCTGGCCACGCTATTTTTGATACAGGACAAGATCCCATTGGCCTTCTTGGCTACCTGGGCACACTGCTGGCTCATGTTCAGCCTCCTGTCAATCAGCACCCCCAGGTCCCTTTCCGCCTAGCTGCTCTCCAGCCACTCTGTCCCCAGCCTGTAGCGCTGCATGGGGTTGTTGTGGCCAAAGTGCAGGACCTGGCACTTGGCCTTGTTGAACTTCATTCCACTGGAGTCAGCCCATCTCTCCAGTCTATCCAGATCCCTCTGCAGAGCCCTCCTACCTTCCGGCAGGTCTACACTCCCTCCCAACTTGGTGTCATCTGCAAATTTGCTGATGATGGACTCAATCCCCTCATCTAAATCATCAATAAAGATGTTAAAAAGGACTGGACCCAGCACTGACCCCTGGGGAACACCACTGGTGACTGGCCGCCAACTGGATGCAGCACCGTTCACCAGCACTCTCTGGGCCCGGCCCTCCAGCCAGTTCCTGACCCAGCACAGAGTGCCCCTGTCCAAGCCATGGGCTGCCAGCTTTTCCAGGAGTATGTTATGGGAGACAGTGTCAAAGGCCTTGCTGAAGTCCAGATAGACCACATCCACAGCCTTTCCCTCATCCACCAGGTGGGTCACCTGATCGTAAAAGGAGATCAGGTTGGTCAGACAGGACCTGCCCCTCCTAAACCCATGTTGGCTGGGTCTGATCCCTTGTCCATCCTGTAACTGCTGTGTGATTTCACACAGGATAATCTGCTCCATAACTCTGCCAAGAGTTATTTTTCTTGCAAGTTCCCTCGAGGCCAGGCCACGGGACTTGGTGACCTGGAGCTTTTCTGGGCATCACCAGTGCCTGGTGGAAGGTGCCCTCGAGGCCAGACCACGGGACTTGGTCACCTGCAGTCCCTGTGGAAGGTGCCCTCGCGGCAATTTTGTAAGATTTGCCCAACAGGGTTTTTTCCAAGGCGTCTCTCGTGCAAGTTCCCTTGAGACCAGACTGTGGGATGGCAGGGAGATGCTTCAGCCTGATCAGGCTGCTCAGGAGGAAGAAGAACAGGAGAGGCCCTGGGGCGACCCCAGCACAGCAAGCTGAGGAACCTCTGCAACAGGGTGAGTGCTGGAGCTGGGCCACAGGGCTGGTGGCTGCAGCCAGCTTGGCCCCTTCCTGTCCCCTGTGGACACACCCAGGGAAAGGGAGGGGGGAAGAGGGGCCCAGGCTGACCCCCCACCATTCGTGCTCCATCCGTTGGGCACCCCAGGGCCGACCCTGCCTCTGGAGCGCAGGGCTGGGCTGTGTTCCCTGGCCTCTCCCGCAGCCCCTCAGCTCTGCCTGCACTCGCTCTTTGACAGATCCAGGCCAGGAGCGGACGGAGGAGCAGGAACGCCCCCGTGGCCGCTTCCGCAGAGCAGTTCAGGTACCTGCAGCCATCCCCCCCTGGGCTGGGCCTGCTGTCCCTGCTCAGCCTGGCACTGCTGGTGGAGCGCTTCCTCAGACTTCCCTCTCTTCCCTGCCCTTTCTTCTCCTGCAGAGGTTGCTGCAAATCATGCGCATTTGGCGTAGAACATCTAGGACCACAGCACCTGAGCTCATGGCAGAGCCTGACACCAGGCCAACTGAGCTCAAGGAGAAGCCTGATGGCAACACCGAGCTGATTGATCACACGGCAACCTCTGACACCGCTGTGACTGAGGACACGGCCAACCCTGACACTGCACTGGCCGATCTCACCATGAAGGATGACACAGAACCCACTCATTGCACAGCAAAGCCCGACACCGCTTTGGCTGAAGACACAACTGGCTCTGACACCGCAGCCACTGATGTCATGGCCAAGGCTGACATGGCACCGATGCCAATTGATGGCACATCACACTCTGACGGGGCACTGATGGACGGCACAGCAAAGCCTGACACCGCTTTGGCTGGTGACACAACCGGCTCCACTGCTGATCTCGTGGCACAGGCTGACATCACACCAATGCTGACTGAGGGCACAGCAAGCTCAGCCATGGCACCGATGGATGGCACAGCAAACCTTGAGACTGCCATGACCCACGACACAACCAACACTGAAACCACAACAAGTGACCTCATGGCAGAGGGTGACACCACAACTGAGGGCATTGGAAACACTGACACCACGCCTTTTGAGAGTGCGACTGATGCTCCCAATCTGCACTTTTTGGAGGGGAAAGGTGTCTCCAGTTGGAAGCCAGTAAGCAGCCTGTGGCAAAGGTTTAAGTCCCCCAGGGGTCTCGTGGCCTCTCAACCCGGGTCCGCTGGCCCCCTAAGCCTTTGAGGCCAGCAGAGTGTGGTGGGAAGGGAAGCACTTCTCGGGGAAGCTGGGCAATCTGCTCCCTCTGGCAGCTCCCTAACTGTCCCCCACTGCCTCTCCAGGTGCCGTCCATCGTTTGGTCCATCCACCACGACCTCACGTTCCACGTGTCTCCTCACACTGACATCTGCAGGCTTGCTGAGGCACACCCACGTGATGTGGTGATGACTCTCCTGTGCTGTGCCCCAGAGTGTGACAGGTACAGGGCCCAGCTACCTTGCTGCCTCAGGAATCACCAGCCCTTACAACCCCTTACCCTGAAGAGCCTGTCCCATGTGGTCTGCCAGACAGATGGAGACTTCCAGGACACTCTGGCCCCTCCATTTCCCAGCCCTGGACTCCTTTCCTCCCCTTTCTTAGCTTAAGAAGGTTCTTCCCTCCCCTTCCCCTTAGCTTAAGAAGATTCCTCCCCTTCCCCTTAGGTTAAGAAGATTCTTCCCTCCCCTTCCCCTTAGCTTAAGAAGGTTTATCCATCCCTTTCCCCTTAGCTTAAGAAGGTTCTTCCCTCTCCTTCCCCTTAGGTTAAGAAGGTGTTTCCCTTCCTTTTCCCTTAGCTTAAGAATCATAAAACTGTAGAATCATAGGGTCAGCCAGGTTGGAAGGGAAGTCTGAGATCATCAAGTTCAAACCTTGATCCATTACTGCCGTGGTTATTAGACCATGTGTCGTGGGTTTACTCTGACCGGATTCAAACTCTCCCAAAACTTGCTAAAGCTTGAGAGAGCTTCACAGGCAAGACAGACTCAACAGGAGGATAATATCCAATTTTATTGCTAACAGGATAAAAACTAACAAGTCAGAAAATACACAGTATTAAATACACTTTTGAACCACCCTTTGGCCCCTTGCATCAACGCAGGAGGAGAACTCTCAGGGCCATAGCTAAAGTCTCTCTTTATGGGGGTGCGAGGGGTCTGTGCATCCCCCATGGTCCTTCATGGGCTGTGGGGGGACAACCCGCTCCACCATCACCTTCAGCACGGCTTACAGGGAGTTAAAGCTCTGAGTCTTTTCCCTGCTATGTGGGGTCCCTCCCAGGGGAGCAAGCTCTCAGGGGACCCTTCCAAGTCAGATCCACACCTCCTCCAGGTCGCAGGTTCTGCAGGGGCCTCTCTGCTCTGGGACAGCAGCTGCCACGGACCAAGCGACATGGCCACCACCCCGTCCCATCCCAGGACAGGGTCGAGGGGGATTCGGCCCCCTCAGGCCCAGCGGCTCCCTCTTCACTCTCCTGGCTCAAATTTCTACTGTGCAATAAGCTTCTCTTCCAGCCTTTTAAAATGTAATTTGCAGAGGCATTGCTAAAGCTTTCTACTGGTTCTTCTCCCGGTCACAACCAGAAAGTCCACCCCTGTGGAACCAACCACCTTAAGTTCCAGGGGGGAAAGGATGAGTAAACCCACGACACCATGGCACTAAGTGCCACAACCAATCTCATCTTAAAAACCTCCAGGGACAGAGAATCCACCACTTCCCCAGGCAGCCCATTCCAACGCCTGATTACCTTCTCCAGCCACTTTGTGTTTGAAGAACGTTCATCCCTCCCCTTCCCCTTAGGTTAAGAAATTTCATCCCTCCCCTTCCCCTTAGGTTAAGAAGCTTCATCCCTCCCCTTCTCCTTTGGTTAATAAACAGTCGCTTTCTCCCTCTGAGATGCGTCTTTGTGGAACTCAAACGGCACATACCCTCAGCCCTTCAGCACATGGGCCCGCTCCTGCCTTGCTTTTGCCCCTTGTGCCTTGGGCACACACACACAGGGACAAGCATTTTTGGGCATGTGGCATCTACATGGTGGACTCTCACAATCATCTTCTCTACCCAGGTGGCAATGTCTTGACACATAGCAGCAGCCCAGATGGGTTTCCCTCTGCATTTCCAGTTGGCCTCCTTCCATCTATCCAACCATCCCCACAGAGCATTGGCCACCATCCACGAGTCAGTGGAGAGGTAAAGCCTCAGCCACTTCTCTCATTCAGCAAAGTCCACCCCCAAAGGAAGCAGTTTAGGCTAGAGCAGGACTACAGCCTTGAGGACATATTCCAAATGAGACTCACAGGTGCTGAGTTCACCGCGTCATAAACCCAATGCACAAACTCAAAGGTACTTATCTCAAGAAGGGTCTTAATATCTCAGCTGAAACAAACTGACAGATGGGACAGGCCTCTTGGCATGGTTATGTGCCAGAGGAAAGAACGACCCCAAGCATCATGGTGCCTACAGGTACCTATGTAAATCACATAAAGGCAGTTATTTCTTTGCCACCTTTCCTCTCTCAGGGCCTCACGTTGGGTGCCAATTATGTCTCAGTTTAATGAGATGGAAGTGTTTGCTGAGGAGGGCGAGTTATGAGGAAGACCAAACTTCCCTCTCTAAGCAATCGTAAACCCAAAATTAAGAGGCTCAAGTCGAGGAAATGTGGAGAAATAAAAAAAATAACAGCCCTTTATTAAAGGATATATGTGTGTAGGTAGCACAGAAAAAGAACAAAAGCAAACAACGATCCTGCACCAAATTCCCAAACAAATCCATGTCTTTTTGCCTTTCGGTGCAATTCTAAGCACGACCGGCAGGGGGCGCTGCTGGGCTGTGGCGGCCGCCGTGAGGGGCCGAATGGAGACCCCCCTTCGTCGGTGGGTCCGAGCTGTGCCCACACGGCAACCGAGGAGGGCAGGGCCAGCCTTTTCCCTCCAAAGCTCCTCTGCAGTCGGCAATGGCTTCTCCGATGAAATCCGAGGCTGACCGGGCAGTGGGTAGGGCAGGCAGTGAGAGAAACAGAGGCGGACCGGGGCCAAGGCAACTCGGCAACTTGGCCAAAAACAGAGATGAAAACCTGGAACTTTTTTCTCTCCACACACACCCTCCCTGAGTCCTGGGCAACAATAAGGTTGCAGTTTCCCCAGGAGAAAAACTCACCTCCCCCCCACAGACTTCTGAGCCAATTAGCTTGGAATGTGGGGCTATGGGCTACTCTTCTGTGTGTGTGAATCACTCCAGCCACCTCCTCCCCCTCCCATGTTCAACACTTTTCTTCTGGGTTTTCTTTTGGGGTTGTTTTGTTTTGTTTTGTTTTGTTAGTTTAAAACAGACAAACCTCTGAGAGTGGGACATTGCTGTTCCTTCTGAAATGCATTCTAACATGAGCTGTGATCATTCTGGGGAGTTTTATTTTCCCTCTTTGAATATTCATAACTTCTTGGCTTCCTCCATCCCACAGCAGCGAGCTGGTCAAAAAGAAACATTTCTTTTTGTCATCTATGTATCTGCTCTCACTTCCATGTCTTGATTCACCACTCCGCTGCTTTCATGACACCCTCAAATGAAAAAGCCCCCTGTCTCCCTTCTCAAGAGCATCACTAGTTGTCACTTGGCACTTTCAGCCTCTCTCCTTCTTACTTAGAGCTGTCCCTTGAGTCCACATGAACCAGGGCGGAATCCACCCTGACCACCAGGGGCAACCCACAGTTCTTAGAAGACTTCACCTGGACTCCCTCATGGATGCAGGCAAGTTTTGAAGACAGCCTGAACTTTAAAGCACCCACCTGAGTGTCCACAGGATGAGTCGGAAGGCCTTAGAAAGGCTGGAGCACTCGCTCTCTCAGCTCCAAATCATCCAATAGAGATTTTACTTTGCTTAGAGCCCTTCAAAGGCTTTCCTGGCCTGTCAGCTCTCTGCACCAGAGGGAGGATTAGTGTTTTTGCCATATCCTCCCTTGGGGTTTGGGGTGCTTTTGGAAGACTGGGGGAACTTTTGTTCCTTGAGAGTTTTTATCCTTTACCAGAATTATTTTATTCTTATCCCTTAATAAATAATTGTTTGCAAACCAAACAATGCCAGGTTTTTTTGCTTCTGTTTAGTTTTTGAAATTGACTCCCACTGGACCGTGTGAAGGCAAAGGATTTGCAGGTTTGAGAGGGGAAGCAAGCTTCCAAATCTTTGATGTTCTCAGGTTCTCCCAATTCAGTTAAACTGCAAAGTTTCTTTCAACTCCTTGTGTTGAGTAATGAGAAGTAATGCTTTCCTGAATTTAGGTTTATTAAAGGCCAGATTCTTCTGTGCCTTCCCTGCAAAGATGTTTTTGTGCTGCGGGTAATCACTTCCATGAAGAAATCGTTCCAGCAAGGAGCCACAGCTTCTGCCTTCTGACAGATGCCAAGCCTTGCCAGCAGTTGCTGCAGCAGCTCCTCCCAACAGCCCCCTGCAAGAGCACAACCATGAATGCCTGTTGGCTTTGCCTGCCCTGTGTCAGGGAAGTCCCCAGGGGCAGTCCCCCAGTCTTTGGGGCAGGAGATGGGCACCACCCCTGCCAGGACTCGGAGCGGTGGTAGGTCTGCTTGGACGGGGACTTGCCAGAGTGGCTTATTTTGGTGCAGCCCCACCAAAGGGGCAGAGCAGCATTCATGTCTTTGCCCACACGTTCCTCTTCTATGTCACAGCTGTCTCAGATACTTTAGGGAATGCATTCCTTCCAACCTGGGGCAGGTTGGCTAGGTTGGGGGAGGCCCGAGGCCACGTGTCCGTGTGTCACAGGGCCCTTTGTGACATGGTGGCCGTCGTCAATGGGATGGGACAGGGCAGGGTGTCCAAGGGCCCTTTGTGACACATCCTGATATAGGTGTTTGTCGTCAACGCAGCTGCGCCACAGTGCTCAGAGCACGCGTCTGGTCAGGACGGGAGAGAGCGGTGCTGTGAGGAGTCTCCTCGCAGCCAACTCGTTCGTCACTGATCCGAAGCAATTCCGAGAGTTCTCTTTCTAGCAAGATCCCTCGAGGCCGCACCACAGGAGTTGGTGACCCAGAGCTTTTCTGAGGCTTCCCCACTCCCTGTGGGAGTGGCCCTCGAGGCCAGGCCACGGGACTTGGTGACCCAGAACTTTTCTGGGCATCACCAGTCCCTGTGGAAGGTGCCCTCGAGGCCAGACCACGGGACTTGGTCACCTGCAGTCCCTGTGGAAGTTGCTCTCGAGGCCAGACCACAGGACTTAGTCACCTGCAGTCCCTGTGGAAGGTGCCCTTGAGGCCAGATCACCCAACTCTGTGATCTGGAGTTTTTCCCGGGCATCCCCACTCACTGGGGAAGGTGCCCTTGAAGACATTCTGTAAGACTTGGCAACCAGGGTCTTTTCCAAGGCGTCTCTCCTACCCTCAAGGTCAGCGTGTGGGATGGAGGAGAGACGCTCCGGCCTGCGCAAGCTGCTCAGGCTGAAGAGGAAGAGAGAAGGCCCTGGGGCTGCCTCAGCACAGCAAACTGAGGAGATGCAGCACTTCCAGCCCCTGCAGCAGGGTGAGTGCTGGAGCTGGGCCACAGGGCTGCTGGCTGCAGCCAACTTGGCCCCTTCCCATTCCCCGGGGACACGCCCAGGGAAAGGGAGGGAGGAAGAGGGACCAAGGCTGACCTCCCCAGCATCCATGCTCCATCCACTGGGCACCCCAGGGCCGGCCCTGCCACTGGAGCGCAGGGCTGGGCTGTGTTCCCTGGCCTCTCCCACAGCCCCTCAGCTCTGCCTGTGCTCGCTCTTTGACAGATCCAGGCCAGGAACGGACGGAGGAGCAGGAACGCCCCCGTGGCCGCTTCCGCAGAGCAGTTCAGGTACCTGCAGCCATCCCCCCCTGGGCTGGGCCTGCTGTCCCTGCTCAGCCTGGCACCACTGATGGATCACTCTGTCCCACTTCCCTCTCTTCCCTGCCTTTTGTTCTCGTGCAGAGGTTTCTGAAATTCATGGGAATTCGGCGCAGAACACCCAGGACCACACCACCTGAGGTTATGGCAGAGCCTGACACCAGGACAACCGAGATCAAGGAGAAACCTGATGTCAGCACTGCACCGATTAATAACATGGAAATCTCTGACACTGCTGTGACTGAGGACACGGGAAACCCTGACACTGCACTGGCCAATCTCACTGTGAAGGTTGACATCGAACTGACTCATTGCACAGCAAAGCCTGACACCGCTTTGGCTGATGCCACAACTGGCTCTGACACTGCGGCGACTGATGTCATGGCCAAGGCTGACATGGCACCAATGCCCACTGATGGGACATCAAACTCTGACGGGGCATCAATGGACAGCACAGCAAAGCCTGACACCGCTTTGGCTGATGACAGAACCAGCTCCGACACCGATATCGTGGCACGGGCTGACTGCCAACCGATGTTGACTGATGACACATCAAGCTCAGCCATGACACCGATGGAGACTGCGTTGACCCATGACGCAATCAACGCTGAAACCGAACCAACTGATCTCATGGCAGAGGGTGACGCCACGACTGAGGGCATCGGAAACAATGACACCACCCCCACTCAGAGTGTCACCGATGCTCCCAATCTGGACTTTATCCAGGAGAAAGGTGTCTCCAGTCGGAAGCAAGTAAGCAGCCTGTGACCAGGGCTCAAGTGCCCAGGGGTCTTGTGGCCCCTCAAACTGGGTCTACTGGGCCCCCTAAGCCTTTGAGGCTGCACTCTGTGGTGGGAAAAGAAGCACTTCTTGGGGGAAGCTGAACAACCTGCTCACTCTGACTACTCTCCAACTCTCCCCCACTCCCTGTTCAGGTTCCAGCCATCGTGAGGTACATCCACCAGTGCCTCACATCCCAGGTGTCTCCAGATGTCAGGCAGCACATTGACATCCGCAGGCTCGCTGAGGCACACCCCTGTGATGTGGTGACAACTCTCCTGTGCTGTGCCCCAGCGTGTGACAGGTACAGGGCCCAGCTGCCTTGGTGGCTCAGGGATCACCAACCCTTACAACCCATCACCCTCTAGAGCCTGTCTCACCTGGTCTGCCAGAGAGATGGAGAGTTCCAGGACACTCTGGCCCCTCCATTTCCCAGCCTTGGCCAGTCAGCCCCTGATCCTGCAGCCATGTTGCCTCCCTGCCTCTGGAGGCACTTTGGCTCTGTCACCTGGGCCCCCACAGCTGCCCAGGCTATGATGCTGTGGCTGAGACACCCCTGACCCAGAGTTCTGACTCCACAGAGCTGCTGCAATGATGTGGAGCAGCATCGCCTCCTCCGGAACAACAGTGGAGAAGGTGCTGCCAACACTGCTCGGAGCAATGGAGGACTGGCCAGTGCACACCGTGTCCACCTCTGATGGCGACGGCACAGACATCTTTTCCCTGGCTGTGAGTTTCTGGAATTGGCCTTTGCTCCTCCCCAGGTCACCTCCCCCACCACTGCATCTCCCTGCCTCAGACCTTGGGCTGCACATGTAGCTGAGGGGCAGGTTCAGGGACACCAGGCCGGCTGCTCCCCCTGGCT